TCATTTCTGCTCACTCGTGCACACCCGAGGTCGTCTGCTGAAAGAGTCAAGCTCGGCCGTGGCGCGATTTATGATTGGAGATAGCCCGGCCACAATCGTGTGGGATTGTGATTGTATGTGTCACGATTTACAAGAGATATATAAACATAAAGGGTGACGGCGGTCAGAAGTTAAAGATAGAGGAGTACTCATGTTTTTATAACTTTTTTTTTGTTAATACTCTTAGTTCATTACAAATCAGTCTTTGGCTAAGGGCAATACACAGTTCGTTATAGTAAATATCCACGTTAAGCCGTAAGCCTACTTTGTCCAATTCAGTTCACTATATATTGGTATAATTCACGATATAATGTCTAGTATAAACCCACGGTATATGGTCTAGTATAAACCACGATATATGGTCTAGTATAACCCACGGTATATGAAATGGTCTAATAACCCACGGTATATGGTCTAGTACAATTCACGGTCTAGTATAACCTACTGTACTGATGCGTGTTTTGCACGGTCCACTTCACCAAGAGATCACGACCCATTGTTTTGTGGCCGTCACGTGACCAAGTGATCCAAGTGTGTAGCAAACACCTGTCTTAAACTCCCAGTAGCTGCTATAACCCCGTGTATTGATATTTCAACACGACACGGTACGTCTAGCCCAGCTGTGTACGCTTGACCGACCAACCACAAGTTTTTTCTAGAACTACCCTCCAGCATTGAGTTCAGAACCAACAATCGGTACAGCTGGTTCGTGTCTACCTTTCCACCACTACCGCACACACACAGTACTACAACCCTTCTGCTACATCAGCACTGCATCTATAAAACCACGACTACTGTTATATCGCTGCTAGTCTATACAATCTACAACAATAGCTTAATTGACGGCGCATTCCTATCCTAAAGTGTCCATGAGTCTACACAGCTCTAATAGGTACCTGACTCACGTTAGGGAAAATAAAGACAGCTAAGCATACAACTGACCACACTACTTCTGTACACTGTGAAACAAACTCTACTTCATCAGCCTTACAAGCGCTAAAGTAAACAATGCAACAATAGCCATACCACTGTTAAAACTCCATCGCTACTAAATTCGATCACTATTATCCGTCCGTACGGCTACATTCCTCGTATATCTATTACGTTTTCATTGCCACGCATTTATTATTCGACTTCAAACGGTACTGCATTTTCTTCCATCTCGTAATAAAATTAACATATATTCACCCGAATCTACCCCCCCCCCCATACACACGCACAAACAGCATGATTTACATGTGTTTGAGCTCACGATACAAAAGCAAAGCACAGATTTGCCAACTTCAAAGTCTACACGTTTTATCTTTAATCGCCGTGCGGGTGAAAATATTGGGAGTGGTGGGGGTGTTTGCTACACGTAACTTGGTACATGGGGTGGGGGTGTATGCTACATGTTGATAACTCTAAACGTGTTGGCCATTACGAAATGTTCGTCACGACATCTGGTCTATAGAGGGAGCTGGATCTACCTTTTGATGAGGGAACACTGGGGGTGGGGGAGGGGGGGGTTACATCATGGTCGGGATCTATGGAAGATAAATAACAAATGACTTGTGGTGGGGGGGGGGGGGGACATCTCCAAGTTCTAACACGGATCGTTCAGTTGAAAGCATCGGGTGTTGCCGAGCGTCAGGTATGTTGAGGGTCCGGTGGTGTTAGGTATATCTCTGTCCGGTCCGAAAATATCAGAAAATGTATGCATAATAAGTAAGTAGTTTGTAGACATCAGTTGTCAGTTAGACCAACAGTCGTTGAAGGGTTAGAGTAAAACGGACAGGCGTTGAAGGGTTAAAGAAAGACCGACAGGCGTTGAAGGGTTACAGTAAGACAGGCGTTGAAGGGTTACAGTAAGAGCGGTAGTTGAAGGGTTACAATAAGAGCGGTAGTTGAAGGGTTATAGTAAGAGCGGTAGTTGAAGGGTTACAGTAAGGCGGACAGGCGTTGAAGGGTTACGATAAGAGCGGTAGTTGAAGGGTTAAAGAAAGATGGACAGGCGTTAAAGGGTTAGAGTAAGACAGGCGTTGAAGGGTTACAGTACGAGCGGCAGTTGAAGGGTTACAGTAAGAGCGGTAGTTGAAGGGTTAACAAGACGTGACAGACATGAGAACGAGAGTGAGGCTCATCTGCCACCCATGCGACGTTTCCATGTCGTCGTGGATGGGTCGCAGACGCCACAGGAAGCCCCCACCGTCAAGTCACGTGTCCGGGGGACGGGCCGCGCGCATCAACACCAGGTGGCAGTGCCAGCCTGCGTGCCAGCACCGCCTGCTGATCAGATGTAAACATGGCGGCTCCCCGTCCCCCTCAGCGCTACAGTGACGGGCCGGGGCGAGGCATTGTTTTCCTTGGATAATGTTAGCTTTAGTAAACATTACTGACAGCAATTTTTTTTGTCGTGGGCGGAGCTATTTCAGTTGTTGGTTTCCGGGGTACGGGAGTGGTATGGGATTTAATAAAACAAGGGAGGTTATGAAAGGTTAACAACGAGGGGAAGTAAACTGAAATGTTATCACTTCATATTCAGAATAGACGGTCAATCTAATAACACGCGTTAAATGTAAAAGACAGTTTAACAGACATACACACACACACACACACACACACACACAAACGGGGTTTCTATACATAGGCCTACAGGTGCAAGTCCAGGTTTTGATATTAGGAAAGAGATAGTTCGCCGGTAGTCTGATCTAAACATGGGTTTTTGTCTGACGTGTACATAGATCTATGTATAAGAAAACCATCTTAAATGAATGAAAGTAGGGTACAAGTAAGAAAGAAGTATTACTATTGTAAATATGTACCAGTCCTCACAAACCGATGATGAAAACTGTAATACTATAGCGAACATGCAAGGCAAACTGACGTTGTAAATATCATGTCTGAGGCGAAAAAAAAAGAGAAAAAATAAATAAATAAAAATTTAATTAAAAAAAAAAAAAAAACCTTTACGTTACATAGTATTCGCTATACCTACTCCCGAGCCATAAATTGCTCACTATTATTAACCTTTCATGATAGAAGATGGGTGTTGTTTATACATTTGTTAACGGGTTATTTAGTGTACTTGTGTTACACTCCCACCCCACCACACACACCACACTCCCACCCCACCACACACACACCCACTACACTCCCACACCACCCAACCACACACAAATACCCACACACAATAAACGGCGAAACTTCAACACATTTGAGGTGAAAAAAATCTCATTTCCGCCACAAGCACCAACTTAAAAGCCCAAATATACTCCACCAACTGTTCGTGGTCTGTCGCCGGGGATTTCTTCAACCCATAAAAAATCCCGAACCCAGATTTCAATGGCCGTTTTTTTTTTTTACCGGGCGATCTACTCCAGGTGAAAATAGGAGGATTCAGGTAGGAATGTTTTCCTAAGCAGACGTCAACACAAGATGGGGTTGTATAGCGGGGGTGTCGCATTGTTCGCGGAGCTTGTGTTCATTTCCCCGACATGGGGCAGGGGGGGGGGGGGGGTGTTAAGAACCAACCCCACTCCCCCTATTCAAGATGTTCCCGGGTGAGGTTGGTTTTTCTTCTTTACTTTCTCGACAATTAAATGTCAGAAAAAAATTGTTTTTATATCGGGGTGCAAGAAAATATTGGTCAGCCCGAAGTGAATTTATTCCTATTTTAAAATTCATTTCTTGTTTGTTGACGGTGAAAACTTGGCGATGCCACTAGGAACCCATAGACAGCGGGGGTTCATTGGTCGGTTGTTGCTTTTTAATATTTCACCGTTCGCACCATAGTGACAGACACTGCGACAATGGTTCTTCAGCGGAAATTCCCGTTACATTACTACTACGCACTACCAAATACCATTTTTCTAACGTAAGCCTTGTTCCCAGTCCCCACTAGTTTCTATACAAAAGATCGATAATTAGACATTTGTAGCATAAGAGCTACCGGATCGGCTAAAACCGACATATTTTAAATAATGTAAAACGCCACGGTCGATGTCAATGACCCGCATAATGCTAATGTATGACGTGGGGCCTAATACCACTACATTGACAGAAGCAGCTTAATGGATAATTAAGAAATAGGCTAAATTGAGAGATAATTAATTACCATAAGAGAATATTCACGCACTTGTAATTAATGTAAATCTATCATGATGTTCAGGGTAACTTAGTACAAGAAGAAAAATATTCGATCATATTAGGTTTTTCAATAATTTCCTTTTTTTGTACTTAGGAGCCTAAACGTTGTAAGTCTATTATTGTTGTTGTTTTTTTTTTTTTTTTTGTTCTTTGTTTTTGTAGTTAGTTTCTAATGTAAATCTCAGGAACTTAAATATACTGAAAATGTATCGAATTGCCGTTTTTATTCCCAAAATCTAATTTGCTGATTAAAATTTCCCAGGTTAACTAATTACATAGTTGAAAATCTTGGTATGTCCTGTCTGATTCTGTGGGGAGAAAGTGGGGGGGGGGGGGGGCATACTTTTTATTCCCTCTCCAGAACATTCTCCAGGACATAGCACCAGCCTGTTTGTGTGTAAGGGGGCAGTTCCCTCAGGGGACGATCTGTCGTCTCGAGCCCGGGTTCCGAACTCGCGACTTTCAGCTAGACTACGCATAGTTGATCAAGCATACCTTCATATTAGGAAATCTAGCGACACTTATAATTTAAATCAAACCAACCATTTTACCCTAGCCCCTTTCCTTCAACAGAATATATCAGTGTGCGGGTAGGTTAATCGAAAAGACGGCCGATCGTATGGGCTAATTGTAGTTGCGATCTTTCGAATGGACGGCTAAATGATTGGACGGCTAAATTATTGTACGGATACATTATTGGACGGCTAATTGATTGGACGGCTAAATGATGGGGATGACTAACTGTGGGGATGACTAACTTTGAGGGCGACTAACTGTGGGTACGACTAACTGTCGGGGCGACTAAACAAACAAACAAAATGTCTGCAACTTACCGACGTAATTGGGCATCCGCGTCATGTTGTAGCGCATGTCCTTGCATATCTTGATGGTGATGGGCTCACACCGCTGGTAGTGGCTGTCCAGCCGGTGGACGGAGGGCCCGTCGGCCACACAGCAGCTGACGTAGAGCACCAGCATCAGCCACAACCCCTGCAACAGGCTGGCCATTGTTGGCATGCTTGCACAGGAATTTCCGATGGTACGGGAATTTCCGATGGTGCAAGAATTTCCGCTAGCTCTGCGATGATTTGATGTAATAAACCTCACGATCATGTTAACTTATCCTATAACATTAATCCTCTGAAATTTCGTGTGCATGTCACACAATCGCACCATCAACATTTATATACACAGTCCGAGAAAAGCTGACTCGACCTTCTCAAAACTATCTTAGGCTTGTGTACATTTTATTTTCATTCATCAGTTCTCCCCATTTGCATATCCTGAATAAAGCGAATTTATCCTTGACAATCCTAGCCCAACACAAAGCGGGAAGGGGAGATCACTGGCGGTTGTTGACCATAAATCCACAGGAGAAAACAAATAAAAATTTAAAAAATCTGGCCTACTTCGGCGAGTGAATCCTGGCAACGCTCGACCACAGCAACTCGCAATTCTTTATTTTCCCGAGATTTAGGGCCCCATTGTAGATTAACTCCCCTTGTCTATCTCCTTTTAATAATCGTCACCGATCCCTCGGCGCGGGCGTGATCCAAGTCCGAGAGTCCCAAATTTATTGAAGCGACGAGGGGGGAATTGAGTGCTCTCCCCGTTGTTGCCAAACAAGGGTCGTGTAGCCCACTCAGGGGAAACAACTAGGATTAAAGGGAAAGAACTCTGGTCCTTTCATTTACCTAATAAAACACAGGACACTGCAGGAATATCAGCAAGGCGGACAGACTGTGAGAGGCGGCGGCTGATTAATGAGGACACCTATGCAGCGCTATCCTCCATGCACCTGGGGGGAAAAAAAAGAAAAAAACAAATTTGTTAGGCTATTGTGGCAGCATGTAGGCCCCAATTGTGTAACATCAAGGGTGTTCAAATGTTTATTTAAAAATAAAAAATAAAAATAAACATGCTGAAAATATTGGGTAATTTTAGCTCCGCCCCTTTTTTCTTTCCCGTCCAGTAATCAATCAAATGAACAGCGGTGACAATTTATTGTTGTGTAACACGGCTTTTGAAGAAACATAAACATTGAGCTGGTTGATAAACACAACAGCTGCAGTTTAGGACATTGGCCTTCGTCAGAGTAGTGCAGGCTGGATACACTGGATGGCTGGGGGTGTATGGATAACATAACACTGGATGGCTGGAGGTGTATGGATAACATAACACTGGATGGCTGGATACCAGGTCAGTCAACGTAGAGCAGGCTGGATAACAAAACACTGGACGGCTGGAGGTGTATGGATAACATAACACTGGATGGCTGGGGGTGTATGGATAACATAACACTGGATGCCTGGGGGTGTATGGATAACATAACACTGGATGGCTGGGGGTGTATGGATAACATAACGCTGGAAGGCTGGAGGTGTATACCTGGTCAGTCAGTGTAGTGCAGGCTGATTACATAACGCTGGATGACTGGAGGTAAATACCTGGTATACACCAGGTCAAATGCACCAGCCTGACCTCGATTGTAACAAAGTCACTCATGTGAGACGGTGCAGTCAGCCGTGAGTCGTGTGGTCACGTGATGTTCTCGCACATCACACACACACACATTCAAGCATTTACACTTACGCATACAGCCCATGTATGCACACATACATACCATCACACAGACATTTTTTACTTACACATATTGAACCACACACCTACACACATATCTATTTTCTTGATAAAACAAATGGACTCGGTAGTTACAAAAACAAAAGAAACTTTTTGACTGTTGCTAGTACATACAGAGAATCTAATGACACATTCTGTCCCTTCTATGTGCACATTGCTGCCCAAATTATCCCTTCATATGATGAGGTCAAGAAACATGAACTCTATTTCATCTGCCCAATGGATAACTAGGTCTAAAGAGGATCTTTACTTTACAATGTGCACATTACTATTCCCCACCTCCCACCCCTAGTAACGACAAATCTGCGACATAACTCATAAAATTGCTAGATCTATGCTTTTGGTCATCGTTTCACATAATACAAGCGACATGTTTTACACACAGAGCTTAATGAATAAAAAAAATCAGTCTGAGCTACTTGTTCAAATACTAGCATTATGCAAGTCTAAAACGTCAACACCATATTAAATATTAATTATGCATTTTCCTTATTACTTTCTAGTTCTATCATTAACAATTTAAAAAAAACAACATTCATATTTCAAATTCATATTTTTAAGCAGTTAATATCCCCCCCCCCCCCCCGAGATTTAAACAAAAAGTAATATACATGAAGAATACGTGGTACTGGAGTAAATATAGTGTATGTTGTTTATGTCATAAGTTGTTTTTATATGCAGCTGTCAGGACATCCTGTACGCATGACAAGTGAACTCTGACGTGTGGCATCTGTGTCACGGTGACAACACGATGACACGACACGTCAACGTTAGATGTGTACGTTTTACAACTGATGGTTATCTTTAGCTCCCGACATACATACACACACATTTACGTACATACACACATTTACGTACATACACACATTTACGTACATACACACATTTACGTACATACACACATTTACGTACATACACACTTTTACGTACATACACACATTTACGTACATACACACATTTACGTACATACACATTTACGTACATACACACATTTACGTACATACACATTTACGTACATACACATTTACGTACATACACACATTTACGTACATACACACATTTACGTACATACACACATTTACGTACATACACACATTTACGTACATACACACATTTACGTACATACACACATTTACGTACATACACATTTACGTACATACATACATTTACGTACATACACACATTTACGGACATACACACATTTACGTACATACACACATTTACGTACATACACACATTTACGTACATACACACATTTACGTACACACTCATTTACGTACATACACATTTACGAACATATACACAGTTGAGACTTTCTAGAAGACCACGCGCAAGAGATTGCATCACCACCTCTGTTACAATAGTTACATCACCACATAAAACATGAAGCCACAGAACTCTAGACCGCCTGTTTTACAAAAGTTGCATCGCCTATTCCTACCGCCTTAGTGCCTATAACAGACCTATAAGACCGTCCCAAAGTCCACCCAACTCTGATGGGTACCTAACTCACTCAAGGCGGCTGGGCATAGTGCTGACCACACTATCTCTTCTTATGCCGAGGTCACAGAAACAAGTGAACTCTACTTCGCTTACCCCATAGACTGTCGGGTTTGAAAGGGAAACTTTACAGTGCCTAACAGCTTACCCCACGATATCTTGTCCAGGTTTCAATAATTCATCATTAAAACCAATCAATCCTCATTACGTTTTCATTAGCCTCGACCGAATGTTTACCTACTAGCCTAGGTGAGTCCTGTTACCTAGAATGTGACGACCTTGACACCACCCGATGAAAGATGACGACTGGTTGCTTTTGGGCAGACGATAGGTGATGAAGTGATCACGTGGTACCGGACAATTAGTGGGGGTAGGCCTAACAAGCATAGGGGGGGGGGGGGGGGGGGGGTACGACAACTAAACCCTCATTTTTGAGACTACTGAATCTGAAATCATAGTTTGTTTGGCGTTTCGTGGATGGTCCTTTAGGTAACAGCATTGTGTGTGTGTGTGTGTATGTGTGTGTGTGTGTGTGTGGATGTGGTGAGTGGATGTGCGAGTGAGATGTGTGGTGAGTGGATGGGTAGTGGGTTGATGTGCGAGCGAAATGTTTGGTGAGCGGATGTTCGAGATGTGTGGTGAGTGGATGGGTAGTGGGTTGATGTGCGAGCGAAATGTGTGGTTAGCGGATGTTCGAGATGTGTGGTGGGTGGATGTGCGTGTGTGGCGGAGGTGTAAAAAATATTGTAAATATAAGAGGATGGGATGTAACAATGGATGTGTGTGAATAATTGTGATGTAGAAGATGTGAAACAAACTGAGCAACCCTCATAAACACACATGCATGGTTACAGACCCACACACTACTACAGCTATGGACACACACACACACACACACACGGCTGATATTGACCAGCCATGCCCGTACAACCTTTACCCTCCCCCTAGTTAATTAACAAATCACCTAGCTGTCTCATTAAGTGGAATAAGCGGGTCCTTAAATAATCAGCCACAAGTCAATCGAAGCCTTCATAGAACAGGCCTGGTGGATTTAACAAGCTCATATTTCTGGCTGAAATCGAATTCAATTAATCGATACTAAAAGAGAAGTTAAAATTGGACTAAAAGAGAAGTTAAAATTGGACTAAAAGAGAAGTTAAAATTGGACTAAAAAAGTAGTTAAAATTGGACTAAAAGAGAAGTTAAAATTGGACTAAAAGAGAAGTTAAAATTGGACTAAAAAAGTAGTTAAAATTGGACTAAAAAGTACTTAAAATTGGACTAAAAGAGAAGTTAAAATTGGACTAAAAGAGAAGTTAAAATTGGACTAAAAAAAGTAGTTAAATTTGGACTAAAAGAGAATTTAAAATTGGACTAAAAGAGAAGTTAAAATTGGACTAAAAGAGAAGTTAAAATTGGACTAAAAGAGAAGTTAAAATTGGACTAAAAGAGAAGTTAAAATTGGACTAAAAGAGAAGTTAAAAATTTGACTAAAAGAGGAGTTAAAATTGAACGTTTGGACGTCACACGGTAAAAGATGAACTGATATTCAGACGAGATTTTACTTCAAGCTGGAACTGAGCGGAACACAAGTACACTATCCGCTTCCAAAAATCATTGTTAGGTTGTTAAAACTAACAAGATCCGCCTACAGATTTTTTTTGTAACTCCTCCAACAGATTTATTGTTAAGCTCCGACAACATGTTTCTGATAAACTCCTTGGTAGGCCCTACATGTTTCTTCCAAACCCCAACAACAGATTTATTTCAAAAACCGTAAATAGATTTATGCTTGCTATCCAAAAACAATGAACCAAAAAAATAAGAAACATTTTATAACTGAAATCACAATACTTTAGTTGTTTCAAACAATTATTTTATCATACTTAAACGATATACATCAACGTTACCTTAGAACAGATTATACATCACAATTCGATTATTTCGTTTGCGACCCACCAACCCCAAACCTTACAAAGTCCGAACATAAACCTAACTTAATGGTTAAGGTATCGCAGTTGGCGATTCCCGTATTTGCAAGTATATTTGGGTACATCTGATCGATAAGAACCGATTACACAACAGCCGTAAATTTAAAAGACCGACAAGACAACTGGTCTACTTATTATCACGCACAAAGCAGCGCCGACATTTGAAGACGCCCAGAGTATATCAAGCAGACCAAAGAAGTGAATGGTCGGAATGCAAAGTTATAAATCGTACAAATAACACTTTATTTGGTTATCGTAAATCCTTCTCGGGCTGAGAATTAGTTTAAAGCCCAGCCAAGCTAGCGAATTAATTTGTATGTGGATATTGAGGTTTGAAATATGAACTAGAGATAAATGTACAGTGGAGCGGGTGTGGGGTGGGTAAATATAACTATCGGATGGGGGGGGGGGGGGGGGGTTATAATTAAGATGGGGGATGAGTATTGTGGGTGTGAGAGTTATGTAAACAGATTCATAAGACAAGGGGTTTGGCGCAGGGGTCAGCTCAGCAGGGTATTATATTTTATTGTTAGAATAACGAGGGGGTGGGGGAGGGGGGGGGGGAAGGGAGGCGTCATATTGACTAGGGTACCATAGTTCGAACTAAATAAAAACACGGCGGTTGTGGGGGGGGGGGGGGAGAGAGTGGAGAGAGAAGTAATTAACAGTATCACAGTTCAAACAATCAAGAAACAGTATCATAGTCCGCACTAAAGAGTATGGGGAGGGGTGGGGAGGGGTTGTGAGGGGTCATATCAACAATAGTATCTGTCCATTGGGGTTGTGGGGAGGGGGGGTCATATCAACAATAGTATCTGTCCATTGGGGTTGTGGGGAAGGGGGGGGGGGGGTCATATCAACAATAGTATCTGTCCATTGGGGTTGTGGGGAAGGGGGGGGGGTCATATCAACAATAGTATCTGAGTCCAAGCTAACGAGAACCACGAACCACTGAGTCAGGGAGAGCTGTTTGTATAAACATGAAGCCGAAAGCTGACACCCCCATTCTCGGGGAAATATTTCACCGGCCCATCAAAGCCTGCCACTGGGAAGCGACCACTCCGTGCAGATGGGTGTAAACAAGGTCTAAGGCGGGGGTGGGATAGTTAATAGTTTCTTTCGTCCTCACAAGAACAATCGCTCACCGAGTTGCTTCAGTTAACACAGGGGTCGGCTACAACAGGGGTCGGCTACAACAGGGGTCGGCTACAACAGGGGTCGGCTACAACAGGAGTCGGCTACAACAGGGGTCGGCTACAACAGGGGTCGGCTACAACAGGGGTCGGCTACAACAGGGGTCGGCTACAACAGGAGTCGGCTACAACAGGGGTCGGCTACAACAGGGGTCGGCTACAACAGGAGTCGGCTACAACAGGGGTCGGCTACAACAGGGGTCGGCTACAACAGGGGTCGGCTATGAAATGGGTCAGTTAAACTACAGGTTGTTACATACGTAACACATGGACTAGTTCTATGGGTCAGTTAATTTACGGGTTGTTTAACTGACCCATAAACGTTTATGTTTTTGAATGGATTTGAAGGACAGTACAGTGAGAATTGTAGGACTATGAATCGTTTTTAGAGTCAATGTTAGGGTTAAGGTGGGGTAAAAAAGGTATGTAGTGATATCAGAAGAATAAAAAAAGTGTATCTTTTGAAATTGCTTAAAATTATTTTATTTTTAAACCAAAGCTAATGAAAATCTAAGTTTTTCTAAATTTACAAGTTCCAAATTCAGCCTTTAAATTATAGCATGTAGTAAATATATAGATAAAAATAACGGGGGTAGAAGTTACATTTTTGTAAGTGAAAAACATTAGCCCCGTATATCAATTTAGTACATCGGTTGATCGATTAGAATTAAAAATGGAATTTTGAGAGGCGGTATTGTTAAAAACCATGGGATTGGTATGTTGACAACTGTCAATTTTAATACCACCTATAGTAGTCAATGCTACTGCGTAGACGACGTGAGTGTTCATTTTCTTCTGATATATTATATTATACGAGCCAACCCGCGGCGTATCATACGCCACTATTTAGTTGTTTTTTTTTTTTTCTACTTTTCAGTAATTTATAATTTGTGAATTCGACAGTACCAATGCTGCCACTGAAAATATTTGCTTAAAAACACACTAACCCCCCCCCCCCCCCCTGTGAAAGCAGCCTCCTATTAGTTACCTGCTCTAAGTTTAAAATCGTTTCAAACTAAATTATCTGCCCCTAATAGCCGTCACCAAACCAGTCTCTATGATTGTAAAATGTAAACAGCGTGAACCACAGCTCACCAGACCATGTGAGGGGGTGGGGGTGGTAGCGATAGAGAGGAAGAGAGGGGACTGTAAGGCGCGCTTGCAGCTTGTTTTCTAACGGCTCCCAGAAGAGAATTATATATATAGATAACTGAATGAAATGAACTCTAACGGTCGGAGCTTCAAACATTTTGTGTAATAGCCTATTAATAGCCGCACAGCTAAGCTTGACCTCATAGTGTAGTGCGTCGTACCGCAGATGTTACATGTAGCGTCCGTCTACTGTGGGTATTGTATTGTGTAGTGTAACAGTCTACTGTCTCTGCTGTCTTATGATATTGATACCCCTTTAATGATGTATTTAGTGGTTGTGTTTTTACTGTCGAGTATTTTGTTCTGTTTATAATACAAGCGTTATTAACATGTTGTGTTCTGCAGTCGTGCTACTTTGGTGCTGTATTAAGTCATGGTTGTATTGACATCGCTGGTGGCATTTTTTAAACTCCATTCAACAACATGAACTAGTTTCAATGATACCTGAACTAGTCTCAATGATACCTGAACTAGTCTCAATGATACTTGAGCTAGTCCCAATGATACATGAACTAGTCCCAATGATACATGAACTAGTCCCAATGATACATGAACTAGTCCCAATGATACCTGAACTAGTCCCAATGATACATGAACTAGTCCCCATGATACATGAATTAGACCCAATGATACATGAACTAGTCCCCATGATACATGAACTAGTCCCCATGATACCTGAACTAGTCTCAATGATACTTGAACTAGTCCCAATGATACATGAACTAGTCCCAATGATACCTGAACTAGACACGATGATACCTGAACTAGACCCAATGATACATGAACTAGTCCCAATGATACCTGAACTAGTCCCAATGATACCTGAACTAGTCCCAATGATACCTGAACTAGTCCCAATGATACCTGAACTAGTCCCAATGATACCTGAACTAGTCCCATGATACCTGAACTAGACCCAATGATACATGAACTAGACCCAATGATACCTGAACTAGACACGATGATACATGAACTAGTCCCAATGATACATGAACTAGTCCCAATGATACATGAACTGAGACGACAAAGTAATACCAGCACGATCACAAACTAGTCTCAAAAACTATGAGCTAGCCCCAACATAAGAAACAAATAACGCAGTACTAAACGACAACAAATGCTACCCTATGATCATGGTCACGCGATACAACACGGATATCAAGATGCTGCTGTCGTCGTAGCGGTTAGGGTCAAAGTTAAAATTCAGATAATGTTAGTAGCTTTAACTTAACCATCATTAAAACTTAAGGCGCTGTACATAACCCAAACATGACTTTAAGGTTACCCTTGGACAAACCCAAACATGACTTTAAGCTTATAACCACTAGCGATATGGATGTTTTACTACATTGTGTGGTGGCTAGGCTCTCATTTGGATTTTCAGGTAAACATTGCACAACATATAATGCAGCTTGTCAATAAAGTAGTCTAAAGCAATTGAACCTAATACTTTATTTAAATTTAGGCACAAAAGAAAAAATATGAACAAAACACGGAATACTTGTTAAAATATTTTCTAGCAGAATGCACGCACGTTTGGTTATTGAAGTCTAAATGTTAGCCCTAATCCTTACATTAATCCTTCCTATTGTGTGAGAGGGGGGCGTTAGCAGTAAAAAATTAAAACTATACCCAGATGTGTACACGAGTCAAGTGTGTATTAGCAGCAGTACAAAATTAAAACTTAGGTGGTACAACACTTGTTGATCTATGCAGCATGACAGTCGACCAACCGTCCAACACAAGCATGACAGTCGACCGACCGTCCAACACATTCGATGTGTGTGTAGTGGTGTTAGGCCGTGTTTGTTGATGTATGCAGCATGACAGTCGACCAACCGTCCAACACAAGCATGACAGTCGACCGACCGTCCAACACATTCGATGTGTGTGTAGTGGTGTTAGGCCGTGTTTGTTGATGTATGCAGCATGACAGTCGACCAACCGTCCAACACAAGCATGACAGTCGACCGACCGTCCAACACATTCGATGTGTGTGCAGTGGTTTTAGGCCGTGTTTGTTAAGTTACGGTAGACCAACATTCTAAACGTTGTGAAATCAAATTAGTTCGACAGTTTTTCATTATTTAGTCGAATAAGAATTTGTTTAACAATATAGAATCTATAACAAAAACTCGCTTCACACATAGATCTAACCATAAAGCACCAACAACCATAACCCACGAACGACGTCCAGTTCAGTAGACCCCAGTAAACTGGTTATTACAAGGTACTGGTACTGTGTAGCTAGCCAGCTCAGAATTTGTTTCCCATACAATTTAATTGTACGTTCAGTTGTTGTTTTTTTAAATAAATTAGTGTATGCTCCCGCTTTTCAATTAAATTTTAGCTAGGAGATGTCTATTAAAATAACTACTAATTAAATGATTACTTATTTCAATTATTTTGTTGAGTTTTTACTAGATCTAGGTGTAGGCTTATTTTTTTTTCAAGTTCATTCTTGACCGGTCTTTACATTTGATATAATGTAGAGTAGAGTTAAGCTAGATTATAAAGAAAATATAACTCTAGTAAATAGATCTAGATCTAGATCTAGATTCTAGATCCACGACTAAACAGAACTCTAAGATCTAGCTAGAATCTAGGTCCAAACATTCTCCCTAGGTCATCGATCTATCTAGATTTAGTCGTGATTGGAAGAATAAAGATTAAGCTGTTAACTATAAGTCATGAAAAATTATAAAGCATTAAATTATTTCATAATATTATTAATTATTATTGTTACGCTATTTCGATTTTTCGGCCTAAATTGGCCTAGTTTCTATATCAAATCAAAGTCAGTTTAATTGATTTATATTTTATTGTGACACATTCTCTATAACTTACATAATCTACTAGATCTAACTAATAGAAATCTAGAAGATTTATCTAAATTCTATGATTCGTGAATAGATTCATCACTTAATTGACTTATTCTTACTCTGTCTCTAGATTTCTATAACAACTGTCTATAGTCGGCGATAGCTCTATAGGTCTAGATCTAGATCTACTGATCTAGTGTTGAGTTTACTAATTTACAAAACAAGTACAAAAACTGCGTGACATGAAACACTTGAACGATATCAACTGCGTCAAAGTTTGTTTACATTTTTGTACATCACACAGAGATGGGAGAAAAATCGTCAACTTACAACTTGTGCTAGTTTAATCCACTTGCTTCTGTTGCCGGGGTGTCAACGAGCGGTGTATGTGTGGTGGTGGCCCCGGCTATCAGTGATGTGTGAATTTGGCCAATGTTTGTGTGGTGGCCTATCCTGCCACTTCGCACCCCACGAGCGAATGTTTTCACAAAATAAATCAGCCGAGACCTCGCTACTCGCTCAGAGTCTGCGCGCGGTGAACTAGGACGGCGCGCGAGACAGACGACTAAAAATTTGCAGTTCTCTCCCCTTGCTTTAGCCAAGCGACGCTGATGAAAAAGAGGGGGGGGGGGGGAGTGGTCGCATATTGAGAAGACTACACATACATCTAGTAGCGGCTTCGTTGCGGGGTTTTTATTTTTCTTCTTTTTTTTTTTTTTTTTTTTTTTTTTTTTTAGTGTGTGTGTACAAAAGATCTCATAGCCGCATTGAAATCGCTATGCGAAATTACATTAGCGAGTTTGACTAAGTTTGAACGGGTATTGGCGCACCGGCCGCGTCGCCCGCTTCAAAGCGCCGGTCGAACATAGAGACAGCTTGTGAACTATCAAAGCCGGGCTGATAGCAATACACCCGTCACAATAAATTACCGGTTGGCAATCACAAAACAACTTGTTACTTTGTTCCATTAAGCCCGCGCAGTTTTCCCCCCTTGTAGCACTGCTGGTCTATTTTTAGCCCGATCTTCCGTTGTTTCTGAGTGTAAAGGGATTATTACGAAAGTACATATAAATATAATCGCGTGCCTTTAATTTTAATAGACAGTTGTCGAAAGCGTAATTACATTTTATAGCAAATGTGATTATTCAAATATTTCTGCTATTGCAAGTATACAATTCGTGTTAAAAGTTTGATTAACTAGTTTTTAGCATAACTAAATTATTGAACACGGCATTACAAGGAACAAACTGGGTTTGTACACAACACTCATATATCGAGGTACAACTGTTTATTATATACAGTGATATATCGACATACGAGTGACCCGACATATGAGATTTTTTTATCGTGCGAGCTAACTTTTGCTTTGACATATGAGCAAAATTTGAATCACGAGTAACAGGATTAGCAGGATTAACAGTTCGTTGAAAAGAAACACTCCGAAAAAGATGAAAAATCAAACCTCCTTGGACAGGTTTATGTTAAAGGCTTGTGTGGAAAAGTGGGGGGAAAGTAAGGAAAGCGTAGCAGTACATTTCATTGAACTAACACTATTAAACGGTGTACCCCCCTCCCGCCACAGCCTTCTGTAACAGCCCCTCCGACAGCCGTCTGTAAAAAGCCTACCCACGGCCGACTCTAGCAAACATCTCCCAGCCGTCTGGAAAATCTTCAACCGTCTAGAAAACTTCACTCAGCCGTCTAGAAAAACCTCCCCAGCCGTCTATAGAAAACCTCCCCCAGCCGTCTAGAAAATCTCCCTTAGCCGTCTATAGAAAACCTTACCCTCAGCTGTCTATAGAAAACCTCCCCCAGCCGTCTAGAAAATCTCCCTTAGCCGTCTATAGAAAACCTTACCCTCAGCTGTCTATAGAAAACCTCCCCCAGCCGTCTAGAAAATCTCCCTTAGCCGTCTATAGAAAACCTTACCCTCAGCTGTCTATAGAAAACCTCCCCCAGCCGTCTAGAAAATCTCCCTTAGCCGTCTATAGAAAACCTTACCCTCAGCTGTCTATAGAAAACCTCCCCCAGCCGTCTAGAAAATCTCCCTTAGCCGTCTATAGAAAACCTTACCCCCAGCCGTCTATAGAAAACCTCCCCCAGCCGTCTATTGACCCCCCCCCCCCTCAGCCGTCTAGAAAACCTCCCCCAACCGTCTAGAAAACCTCCCCCAGCCGTCTAGAAAACCTCCCCCAACCGTCTAGAAAACCTCCCCCAGCCGTCTAGAAAACCTCCCCCAGCCGTCTATAGAAAACCTCCCCCAGCCGTCTATAGAAAACCTCCCCAACCGTCTATAGAAAACCTCCCCCAGCCGTCTATAGAAAACCTCCCCAACCGTCTATAGAAAACCTCCCCCCAGCCGTCTATACAAGCCCAGCCTACCTTAGACGGCAAACGGCCGGTACGCCGCCAACTTACTTAAAGGGGCGGCGGTGCGACGTGGCCCGGCACCTGGTATCACGTGATCACCGTGCCGCAGTATCGTGACGTAACCGCTGATGATTGATAGCGCGCGCAATTAGTGCTGATAGGATCATCCCGGTTGGTTATTTAATCCCGCGTTCTCCGCCGTTTAAACGAGTGGCCTGGGATGTATGTCTTGTTTCTGATCTTTGTTTTCTGGTCAGGTGGGTTATGATGGGGGGGGGGGGGGGGGTAATGAAAATATATCTGACCAGTCCTGGTGTATTCATTATTGGCAGCATGTAAATTTGTTGAGGTGGGAGCGCTTAGTGCTATTGCGAGGTTAAGGGTTAAAGGTTGTTGATGGATCTCAATAATAAGCGGATGGCACTTAATATTGCACGGGGCTCTTAATAATACTGATAAATATAGATCAATATTGCCGAAAATTGGGACGAATTTATTTCTTCTAAAAGACAGAAACACATGAAGGGATGTTCTAGAAGGCCTATGATCCACAGGGAGTTCACAAATTGAAGAAGACTGCATTATCGATTAACCATTATCGGGACGGAGTGGTCTAGCTGTAGAGAGCTGGACTGCTAACCCGTTACTCGAGATCGAATCCGGGTTCAAGTCAGTAGACCGTCCCTGAGTCCACCCAACTCTGAAACGGGTGAACTCTAATTCACTTGCCCTATAGACCGTTAGGTTTAAAAGGGAACTTTACTTTGTACTTTTATTATATCGGTAGTGTTATAGTTTGAATTAGAATGTGGGTTAGATGATGTATTTAGGGGATCTACGATAAATTCCAGAAAGATACTCCCCCAAACTAGTGAACCGTGAACATGCAATTCGAGCGTTTGTCGCATTCGGGCAAACGTCAGTTCACGAAAACAGTCTTGTGACTGAAAACGGCTCTCGGAGGTAAAGTCACGGCTCGGCTGTGTTTTGGATATCTGTATTGACGTGCGCCATGCTTCACCCCCCCCCCCCCCCCCGCACCCCCCTCAATTCCTACTCCACATCTACTTGTATATACATTCGTGCTTAATTATGTTTATATTTGGACGAATCTGCCAAAAAATACAAGAAATATAAGTAGGATAATTTTTAAAAAGATACACTTACTTGGACCACACCTACATGTGTGTTTAGAGTGTGTGGGGGGGGGGGGGGGATAGAGGCCTCGGGGGGAGGGGGGAGTGGTTCCGTCTGTAATAACTATTTTTCACGTCTGATCGGCAGACGTTATTGATTTGGGTGGTAGGTGGGGGAGGGGGAAGGGTAAACGGAAAAAAAGTCACAGGAAAAAAAAACACAGAAAAAAAGTCAGTTTTTGCTAGGAAAAAAAGTCACAGAAAAAAAGTCACAGTGGAAAATTTTTTTTGGAAACATATGTCGAAGCTCCGGTCTGTGTATATGTGTGTGGTTGATGCGACCCCGACTACGCCTGGGTGGATTTGAACTATTGTCGTAGTCTCACATTGCGGTTGAATTATTGAATTTACCGTTGAATTATCTCTGCTGTCCTGAGTGGAGGGAGGGCACAGGGAGAGTTGGGGGTGGGAAATTTGAAGCGGCTCTGAGGCGCGAATGAACGGATAAATACGCAATGGACGTGTTCAAAGACAAAATGATTATTTTTGGGGTGAGTACGGCCAGGTAATGTTGACTAAAACACGGGCATAAGCAGAGGAAAGGGTGAGCAGATAAACAAAATGTCGGCCGGAAAAAGCTGGGGAACGGAAGGGAACCGTGTTTATGGTTGTAGGGGGTGGGGGAACTGCTGAGGGTGAGTGGTCGATTTAAACTTGGGAAGGGGGCGTAGATATTGAGGTCGTTTCTTGTATTTGTATGTGACGGGGTGGTCAAATGGTAGAGTATACGGCTGCTAACCTGAAAGTGTCGAGATCGAGTCCGGGTTCAAGTTCGTCCACCAGTACTATTGTTGCTTTGCTCGGCTAATAGAATTAGGTTTATGTCAGCTTTAAAATTAGACGTCGATCTAAAAAAAACTTGAAAATTATGAAATATACGTGACAGCTTTTTAAAATCAAATGATTTGAAGTGGGATCTTCTGGTAATCTGTCAGATGTGGGCATATCGGTAGATATTATCTGTAATGATTAGGCTTTACACGAGGCATTGATCTCTCCCCCCCCCCATTCACCCAAAGGTGTGTTCGTGTATATACCTCATGTTTACACCCAATTGTTCGCCTCTTCACAAAGTATCCCCATTTTCTTTGTAAAACCATAACAAAGGGCAGGCAACTACATCAGGGGGGAGATTACTCTCTGTGCAGCCAGCGACAGGGTATTGTCCCCTTGATTAATTGCAGACGTCACGGCTGGGAGGTGTTGATTTCATTGTTCAACATGAGCCTGCTCTAGTAGGTCCCTGTACCGTCGGGTTTTTTTACTTGACCCCGCCCTTTAAAACTTGTTTTCCTGAGTGACCTTTGACGCAACATTTGACCCGCCAGTACACAGGCAGCAGGACTTACGTTTACAATTGGCGAGACATTTTCAACTAACTAATCCTGACACTCTTCGATTTGCCGAACCCTAGTAAGCTAATGGAGGCGAGCGAGTTGACGAGATTCCTTCCATAATGTTGTTGTCATGGAATAAAAACGTACTTTTTAGATTTAGACCGTAAAAAAAAATAAAAAATAAAAACTTAAGCCTAAAATTAATTTAGAAATTTTATATTCTTAGAATAAATGCTATAAAAGTTGCAAATCCAGAGAACTTGAAAATAATTTGTTGAGTTTAAGGCTACTTTTCTATTTATTTTCATCAAGCCTAAGTTATAACCGGATGTTTCACTTTCGTAAGACAAATATTGATTGGCTGTACAGTAACTTAGTAATCGATAACTATTTGTTTACAAAACTTTGCAGATCAAGTTTTTAAATTACAATGCAAATTTAAAACCCCATGACCTAGTTTTCTATTTTTAGCTTACAATGTGTACAATAAAATCTATGGCAGCCTATCCAATAGCAGGATGCCATGTTTATGTCGCCATTACACGTGAAAACCAAATTGTTTTTGCTTTTTTTTAAATTTTTATTTAGTTACCGAAAATATTATAAACATCAAATACATCCAATCTTTAGTAAAGTCCGAAAAAAACCAGACAGGCAGGATTTTATAACCATATTAATTGTAAATACGCTGTGCATGATTTTTTAATGAATTTATACACCTCTCAAATACCTTTGAGACTTTTCTCGCTGGTGTCCATTATCTGGCGCGGTTGATTAGTTGAACCTGGGA